TCAGAAAACACAGAACAATCATAAGTCAGGGTGCATGGGGACACCCTGCTGAAAATGAAGTATGTGGGGGGGAGAGAGACAGCTGTAGAGAGGGCAAGGGTCTGAAGCAGACCCGATGAGAAGTTTAAGCAGTAGGGACAGCAGGCTGAGAGGGCAAAGTGGTTGGTACCCACCCCACCCTATGTGGTGAGAAGTAAGACCCATTATTTATGGATTACTATGGGGCCTGAGAGCTCCAAGACTGAGAACTGAGTCTAAAAGCACTGAAACCAAGGTAGGCTAATTGTTTGATTCCCTTGGCTCTCCCCTACAATGCAGAACTCAGTGCTTTATTTGCTTCCCTCCACACTCTGATGTACTCTCAAGGCTACCCCTCAGCTTGGATGTTTACCACACCCTTGGGCACACAAACTGGGTGGGCCCTCTGGAGTGAGTGGGAACCTACCCAGCCCTTAAGTTGCAAAGCTAGTTAGGATTAGCAGTGGCAACCTATACACAAGAAAAGAAAGCTCTGGAATCAATGCAATGAGCAAGGGCCTGGGTTCAACCCCAGTACTGCAAAAAAAAAAAGTTCTTGGCTTGGGGATGTAGCTCAGAGGTAGAGTGCTTCTGTAGAAGCACCAACCTGTATGATTGAATCAGAGAGGAACTATAATAGATTCAGTTATGACACATTACCCCTATCCCAAACCTGGCAGATTCCAGTATTAGAGGGCCCAGAAAAAAAAAGCTTCTCTAACTCCTTGTCCTCCCTTTTTTGTTAAATTTAAATTTTTTGTTATTTTTTTATTTGTATTTATGGGATTTTTATCTTTTTACTTTTTTATTCCTCCCCTTATTCTAATTTTATTTACATATTTTTATTTTATAATTGGATATTTGTTTCTTGCTCTTTGTCTCTCTATATTATTTTCTTTCCTTTATGCTTGGTTCATTCCTTTTCCCCATTCTCTGCTCCCTCCTTTTATTTCATTATTTTATTATTAAATTTTAACTTCTTAGTTTATTTGACATTATTTGTGCCCATTTTTCTTTTGTGATCATTGACTGCATAGTAATTGCTTTTATTGTATTTTATTGTATTTCTACATCTGGTTTGTTTTGGTATTCGTGCTCTTACAGTGGTTTGTTTTCTTCTCTCTGAATGGTACTTAGGATTGAGACCACAAAAGAAGGCTGCTCACTAGAAATAATCTCATATAAAAATGGAAGCGAATCCACCCTAACAAATGCACAAATCTCAACATAGCAACATAAGAAACATGAACAAATAAGACAACATAACTCCTCCAAAAGTCCATAACTCTTCAATAACTGAATTCAAAGATTCAGAATCTTTGAATCTTTGAATTCAGTTATTGAAGTGGCTGAAATACAAAGAATTCAAAAGACTAATTTTTTAAATAATCAGTTATTTCAGCAGATACACAAAAACAGCTAAATGAAGTAAGGAAAACAGTACAAGATTAAGATGAGAAATTCAGCAAAAATAAAGTTAACAAGAAAACAAATGGAAATCTTGGAAATAAAATGATGTAAATCAAAATTAAAACTCAGTGGAAACCTGCAATCCTACCAACTTGGGAGGCTGAAATCAGGAGGATTGAAATTTGAGGCTGGCTCTGGCAGGTAGCTCAAAAGACCCCTTCTCCAAAATAACCTGAGCAAAAAAAAAATAGATGAATGAGAATTAAGAAAGAGTCAAACATTATTAAGTCAGTAAACCAAGAAGAATAAATGAAAAATAAAAGGACACAGATTATCTAAAAGAGAAAAATATCAAAAAACAGGAATAAGCACATACCTCTCAATAATAACCCTAAGTGTAAATGGTCTTAACCCTCCAAGTAAAAGAAACAAGATCCAACTGGTTCTTATCTGCAAGAAATGCACCTCACTGACAGATATATGCAGACTGAAAGTAAGATGATTAGGAAAGATATCCCAAGTAAATGAACCCAAATGCATGCAGGAGGAGCTATACTCATATCTAACAAAGCAGATTTCAAACCAAAATTAGAAGAGACAAAGAACGTCACTTCATATCCATAATGAAAACAATCCATCAAGAGGACATAATGATTAAAAATATTAATGCACCAAACATTGGTGTACCCAAATTCATGAAACAAACACAACTGAACATAAAGGATCCCAATATAATAACAGTGTGTGACTTCAATACCCAACTCTTATCCTAGTTAAACTATACTGTAGATCAAATGGAACTAACAGACATCTACAAAATATTCACCCAACTGAAGACTACACATTCTTTATAGCAGTCCATGGAACTTTCTCCAAAATAGGTTAAATTTTAGGACATAAAATGAGTCTTAAAAATGAAAAGTATTGAAATAAATTATTGTCTCTTATCAGATCATAATAGACTAGAACTAGAAGTCAACAGCAAGAGAAACTGAAGAAAATATGCAAGTACGTAGTAACTAATCAACCAACTTTTGAATTACCAGTGAGTCACTGAAAAAATCAGCAAGAAAATTTTAAATTTCTAGAATCAAAGGCATTTCTAAGACGGAATTTTATAAATATAAGTGCCTACACTGAAAAAAAATCAGAGACCTCAAATAAGTAACCTAGTGATGCATCTCAAAGTCTTAGAAAAATAAGAGCAAGCCAAACCCAAAATTAGCAGAAGGAAAGAAATAATAAAGATCAGAGTTGAAATTAATAAAATAAAGACCAACAAAACAAAGAGCTGTTTATCTTTGAAAAGATAAACAATTGACAAACTCTTAGCCAAACTAAGCAAAAGAAAGAGATAACCCAAATTAATAAACTTAGAAATGAAGAAGGGAATATTACAATACATATCACTGAAATCCAGAAGATCACCAGGGAATGTTTTGAAAATTTATACTCCAAGAAGTTGGAAAATCTAGAAGAAGTAAATTCCAAGACACATGTGACCTACCAAAATTGAACCAAGAAGACATTAAAAACCTAAACAAACTTTGTACCGGTGGCTCATCCTATAATCCTAGCTACTCAAGAGGCAGAGATCCTGTGGTTCAAAGCCAGCCCAGACAAATAGTTCATGAGAGACCCTATCTCAAGAACCCTATTACAAAAAAGGGCAGGTGTAGTGGCTCAAGGTGTAGGCCCTTAGTTCAAACTCCAGTACTGCAAAAAAAAAAAAAAAAAAACAAACCTAACTCAATAGCAACAAGTTAAAACAAAATTCTCCCAATGAAGATGAACAAAAATCCAGGCCCAGACTTACTCACTGCTGAATTCTACCAGACTTTTAAAGAAAAACTAACAGCAACACTTCTCAAACTATTATATAAAATAAAAAAGAAAGAATGCTTCCAAACTTATTCTATGAAGCCAGTATTACCTTGATACCAAAACCAGATAAGGGAGGAGAGAGAGAGAGAGAGAGAGAGAGAAAGAAAGAACATAGACACAAAAATTCTCAATAGAAGACTTGCAAGCTGGGTGCCAGTGATTCATGCCTGTAATCCTAGCTATTCAGGAGGCAGGGATCAGAAGGGACACAGTTCGAAACCAGCCCATGCAAATAGTTCACAAGACCCCACCTTGAGAAACCCTTCACAAAAATAGGGCTGGTGGAGTGGCTCAAGGTGAAGGACCTGAGTTCAACCCCCCTGTACCGAAAAAAAAAAAAAAAACTACACTGAGACAGCCATGGTCATGCATACCTATAATCTCAGTACTCTGGAAGTAGAGGCAAGTAGGTGCCCATCAATGGAAGACTAGATTTTTTTAAGGTGGTATGTATACACAATGGAGTATTATTCAGTCATAAAGGAGAATGAAATCATGTCATTTTCAGGAAAATGGATGGAACTGGAGATCATTAGGTTAAGTAAAATAAGACAGATTCGGAAAGACATGTTTTCTCTCACATGTTGAATCTTGAGAAAAAAAAACATGAAAGTAAAAGGAGGGGACAAATTACAGAAGAGGATCAAGAGAGGTGGGACGGGGTAAAGGAGAGGAATGGGTGTCTATGATCAAAGTATGGACTATGAACATATGAAAATGTCACAATGAAACCCATTATTCTGTACAATTAATATACACTAATAAAAAATTTAAAATAAATAAATAAAAACAAAGAAAATTGAACACCAATATTCATCATGAATATAGACACAAAACTCCCTCAAAAAATAGTAAAAATATTCCACAGTATATAAAAAAAGATTATGCACCATGGTTAAATCCAACAGGATTTGTCTCAGAAATGCAATTTATTTGAACAAGCCAAAATCAATGTAATACACCACATTAATAGAATGAAGGGTACAACCAATATATTCAACTTGGTAGATACAGAAAAAGCATCGGAAAAAGATCTACTACCCTTTCATTGTTAAAAAAATTAGGACTAAAAGGAAATTTCTTCAACCTGAAAGGATATCTATGAAAAACCTGAATGACTACTTTCTTCATCAATTATTTTCTGTCTACTTTCTCTTTATTTACTTTGCTGTTTTGGTTCCAATTTCTCAGGTGCACGAGAACTGAGTTCAGGCTGGAATTGTGGCTCAAATGGTAGGGCACCTGCCTAGCAAGCTTGAGGCCCCTAGTACCAAACCCTAGTATACCATCAACTGAAGGAGAGAGAGAAACTTAGTTCACTGACTTTCAATTTTTCAGATTCGCATATTAAAACAAAAAAATATTAATTTACAATTATTCGTTATAAAGATACTGATGTCCTGACCTCTAAGTGGTCAAAGTCCCTAGATGAGGAGAGAAGGGAAGGCTGAGGTTCATCTGCAGGGTTCTGAAAAAACATGGCCTTCCAAGCTATATGGATGGGTACCCAAGCACTTACTGTCCTGCTCACTAGGCTAATTCTGGATGCTCCAGAACACTGCCCTAGCTGGGGCCCTGGGAAAATTAAATTAAAGATATGGGTTCAACTTCTCACAAGAAAAGGAGCCCCACCCCCAATATATAATTTTGGTGCAGTGCAGGACTCTCCTGTCTGCTTCGGCAGCATCATGAAGACTGAATGGATTCCCTTGTCTCTGTGGCTCCTCATCTTTTCCATGCACCTCCGCACACTTTCATGTAACTTAATTCCTGCACACCTCAGAAAAGGCCTATGTGAAAGTGGACATCTTGGAAGTAAGCAAAAATAAGAAGGACAAACCAAGAGAAAACTGTGACAGAAAAGGAAGTCCAGGCAGCCTGGGTGGTGCTGCCATTGAAAACCAGGCTCCTCCTTTTATCACAAATTGTAGAGCTCTAGAGCATCTGATTAAGTTCTCTCTATGAACTGTGGAAGGAGGAAGACAGAAATAGAATTGGCTTAAGTTTTTACCAAAGGGTTTCAGTGCAAAAAGAATGGGGATTATGAAAATTGGTTGGTGTCAGAATGTCCCAGAAATTCCCTTGCTGATGTGTATTTGTGTGTGTGTGATATAAGTTTCAATCTATTCAACACATATTCATAGGACTACTGTGTTACATTCCACTGATAAAGAAGTCATCACTTACATGCTTAGAATATTCCCATTATACTTTCTTAATTTGCTCTTGATTCAAATTATAATGAGCATGTACGAGACACTCAATGTGAAAGGGGGAAATTTCCAGTTGTGGATAAGGACTGTAGTTGGACTTCAAGAAGACCAACATTAACTCCTTCTTTGTCTCCAACATGGTCATCGTGGTTCTTGCTCTAACCATCTACTTCCATGGTCTCAGCAACCCCAGGTGAGTGTGGATGGGTAGACCAAAGGGAAACTGGATGAGAGAAGACACCATCATAGAAAAAAAGAAGATGCCTCAAATTAGGCATTTTAAGCCTATCCTTCAAGAATAGCTGTAGAAAGTAAAAGGTCTTTTTAGTGAATGTGTTTGCAGAGACTCTGGGGAGGGTGAATAAGATGGGTAAAAGTAAAGGCATGGGGGGAGGTGGAACAGGTGGTTGTTCACTTCCAGTGACATGGGAAATATGCAGAGAGTCAGGAAATGAGCTATGTTTAATATGAACAAAGAATACTGTGAAAGATGGAAGCTGCCTCCAGGTCTCTCTTGCTGTCAGCTCCAAAGTAGTAGGGCTACCGTATTGTCTTTCTCCAATTATTTCTCTGCATCATGGACCAGGCTCTAGCCCAGAATCATTGACCCATATCATGTATGAAATGAAATTCATGCTCAAGGAACTATATCTTATTCCCCAGCGATAAGATTAGGTAGATTTATGGTGGATGAACTTTAGTAGTCTTAACCTATGAGGAAAAGAATCCCAATGGAGAGTAAAGAAAACCTGACTGGGATTCTCATACACAGCATACTGCAACTACCCTGCAAAGAAGGGGACCTGCCACTTGAATCTTTTGAGATACTACTACAACACTCTGACATTTTTATGTCAACCCTTCATCTTCTCTGGTTGTGGAGGCAACAGAAATAACTTTAAACAGAAATTTATCTGTGAACACTTTTGTTTGCCTGAAGGGTAAGTTTCTTAGTACCCCACCCCGCCCTTAGTGATGCAGAGTACTAGGATTCATGGCTTTTCAGGAAAAAGCAAGTGAGAGGTTAGGGTAAATGGGCAAGGAAGAAAGAAATTTTACTGGTTGAGGATATGCCAGAAGCATAAATTTCAGTATCCACATCATTTAGTCCAACCACACTCTTTTGAAACTGTGAAGTTAGTGATTTTCTCAAGTTTGCTCAGGAGAAAGGCATAGATCCAGAGCCACTAACTCTCCACCCAGCATGTCACTACTAACACAATGGTCTCAGGTCTTTAAGGTCCTGTCCAACATCTTATTGTTTCGCACTTTTAAAAAAGAAAACCGTGAGTATGTCAGGAGAGCAGAGGAAAGCTCTGATCATCATCCAATGTCAATAGCGAAGGTCCAGACAATGGTCTTATCCCAAAAGCACAAGCATTGCTTTACTAACATGTACATCCTCTGAGCCAAGCACTATATCTGCTTATTAATAGTCTACAGAGGGCTGGAGCCATGGCTCACGTAGCAGAGTGCCTGCCTAGCAAGCGGGAGGCCCTGAGTTCAAGCCCAATACCACATATATATATATATATGTGATGTAGAAAAAATAGTCTATAGATCGGGAAGGAAATTAGCACTAAAAATGGGAAATTCTGCTATATGTTAAGGACTCACACCAATGGCCACAATAATCACAAATTTTATTTTTTATCTATTAACAGAGATAGAAATAAAAATAAACAAGAAGCTTCATCTGAAAGGAAGAAGTAACCAAAAGCAACATGAAAAATTGTGCTGAAATTTTTCTGAGTAAATAAATTGGACATTTCTGGAAGTTTTTTTAATTCAGAATTCTTGCTTTCCTTGCCCAGGTTTGCCATTCCTACTAATTAGATATAGACAATTTTAACTGAAATTTTCCATACATCAGCCTTGGTATGAATTCATCCATTGCTTCCATCCTAGATGCTTCCATTATAAAATGCAGCTGACTTCCCTTCAGGCACCATCCTACCCTTTAATGTGTTGCTCTCTCCTTGCCATGACTTGCCAAAACGGAGTTTGTTTCTGTACTTTTTCATGGACCAAAGTAGATGTTCAGGTAAGTGGCATCAAAATAATCATCATTAAATTGCATCTGCCACATATCAATAGGTATTTATTCAACCCCCAACAATGCTAAGTTCTAGAGAAATGTCTTCGATACCCCAGGCTCTAGCAACATAGAAGCTGTGACTTGATGGCTGGGAGCTACAAATCTTGTGCCAAGGTGAACCTCTACTGTCAGAGCATCAAGGGTCACTCCCCTCTGCTTTTACTGCCCTATTCATTTCTCATCAAGGATGGAGCTTCACAAACTAATCTATTGACACAAAAAGTCTAGGCCAGTATTCTAATGGCATAAACAATAGAAGAAACTGTGTCCCTGGATGAATCCACTTGTGAATATTCTAACTCAGCCTCAACACTAACAAGCCCTCATCCTGGATTGTGGACACAACCTTGGAAAAACCCTGGGATTTAGCAGAAAGCATAGATTACAGATGTTTCCATACATAGTTCCTTTCTCAGAAATTACTCCTATGCACACACAAAAAGGACAAAGGAAACAAGAAGGTTTTGGTATCCTCTAAGTATTGAGTCAAAGACTAGGATCCCAGACCATGCTATGTCCAAATTAAAGTTTGTGTTAGGGACTGACATCATAGGGTATAATTTACCTTGTGTCCATTTATAGGTTCTAGAAATCTCCATCCTTCTGACCATTATGAAACACTATGTTATATAAATAGGACTCAAGTGCGATTTTTTTAAAGTTCTTTTAAAACTATATTATATACCAAAGAATTACTGTAAATATAATACTTTCTGAAGACAAAGAATTAATGACCCAAGTCAATAATTTTAGATATCTTCTGGACATTTGTCTAATTTCGTGCCCAGTGGGTCCTAAATTTGCCTGTTATAAAAAGGTATATCTATATACCGTCTGCAGCGCTAAAGGAAATTTTTTCACAAATACCAGCAAAGATCAGTAAAAAGATAGTGAATATCTCAGGCCTTTATATGAAACCACACAAACAAGGGCTAATGCAGGATATGAGTTCAAACCTGAGTTCAGGTTTCATGTTAAACTCAAGTGAAAAAAAAATTCAAGGAAGATATTGCAAGGGGACAGATCACTGGTGAAAGAGGAAGAAATGGGAAAACATAAAACAAGGCCTTAGGGTATATGCCAAAAACAGAATGAAAAGATATTTCTTACTCTGATCTATTCCACTGAGTTATATCTGATCATTAGAGAAAGTGAGAGGGAAAAACACCACTAAATGTGATGGAGAGATTAAAAAAACAATTAGGAATGATTCTGATTTCTAAGTTCCCAAACAGAAAGGATTTCGTAGAGCAGCCCTTCCAATGTGGCACAAAGCAGGATACCATTCAAGGGCTACTCAGTGCATCTCGCCCTCATATCTGGATGTAGAGCAAGACCTGAAAGATGTGAAGAAAAGAAAGCCCATGAATACCCACAAAGACTCTGGTCTCTTCCCCATCCAACACCTCTACTCTGTTTTCTGTAGGAGAATAAACAGAGTAAGAGAAAATCTCTGATCCTCGAGTATGGCCTTCAATGGGTCTGAAGGATCACTTCCTCCTTGTCATTTGTACATTCAGTCTCATCCTGCTAGTCTCTTTGTCAGACTCATTCATGATCTGAATACTTCCAAGTCTTGTTAATTCTATCTGCTATTCCCGGAATAGTGGTCCTTAAGTGTCATTTCTAGTTTTCAGGATCTTGATCTAGGATCAAGTGGATAGGGTGAAAAATCTAAATTCCACCACAGGTCCCCTGTGGGTGTTCCATGTTATTCTATTTCCCATGGCATCCTTTTTTTTTAATTTTTATTTTATTTATATGTGCATACAATGTTTGGGTCATTTCTCCCCCCTACCCTCTGTCCCCCTCCCCTCCCCTCCCCTCCACTCCCTCCCTTACCCCCCACTTACCCCTCACTACCTGGCAGAAACTATTTTGCCCTTATCTCTAATTTTGTTGAAGAGAGAGTATAAGCAATAATAGGAAGGAACAAGGGTTTTTGATAGTTGAGATAAGGACAGCTATACAGGGAGTTGACTCGCATTGATTTCCTGTGCATGTGTGTTACCTTCTAGGTTAATTATTCTAGAACTAGCCTTTTCTCTAGTTCCTGGTCCCCTTCTCCTATTGGCCTCAGTTGCTTTAAAGTATCTGCTTTAGTTTCTCTGAGTTGAGGGCAACAAATGCTATCTAGTTTTTTAGGTGTCTTATCTATCCTCACCTCCCTTGTGTGCTCTGGCTTTATCATGTGATCAAAGTCCCATGACATACTTTTGTCTTGAATCTTGGTGAATATGGTGGATTTCTAAAATGGAAAGTGACATAGAAGATCATCTAGTTTAATCCTGACCTGTTATACATCTTAGAACTGAAGATCTGAAATGTGAAGTGACTTGACATGTTTCCTGATGTCTCATGGTTTCATTTAACACCTCTTCCTTCAGTTGGGAAATCTCTTCCATGCACCATGCAACCTTCCCCCACTTTTCATTTATTCAACTCATTTACTAAGCTCCTACCATGAGCTAGACACCACGTGAGGCATAGGATAAGAGACTGAGCAAAGGGGACAGACTCTGTCCTTGTAGAATTGACAACCTGGAAAGGAACAGACATCACTCTAATAACCAGTATTTGATGACAAATTATGATTCCTGGTCTACAAGAAAGAAACAAAGTGCTATTAGAAGATGGAGGAAAGGAATGTAGTCTACCCATAGATTCAGTAAGTACTTTCTAGAGGAAGTAATATTTGGCTGACATATGAAGCATAAGTAGACAAAAAAGGGGTGGCTATTCTCAGCACAAAGAGCAGTATGTGCAAACTGTGAGGCAGACTAATATTTTTTAAAGAACTGAAATGTTCACATATAGGACTGGGGGCACAGTAGCAGTCAGCAGGGTCTTGTCAGTAGGGCTGTGGTAGACAAGAACAGAGGGTTTTGAGGAGACTAATGTTTTTAACAGGCTATGCATGCCAGCACCAGTGGCTCACACTTTTAATCCTAACTACTTGAGAGGCAGAGATCAGGAGAATAGCAGTTTGAGGCCAACCTAGGCAAACAGTTAACAAGACCCTATCTCAAAAATACCCAACACACACGCAAAAAAAAAAAAGTGCTGTTGGAGAGGCTCAAATGGTACAGCACATGCCTAGGCAGCTCAAGATCCTGGGTTCAAGCCCCAGTACCACCAAAAAATAAATAAAAGACCATTCAGAGAATTCTGATTCTAATAGTGGCAGAATAGCTTCTATCAGATGAATTATTTCACAGATAAAAGTTATACCTCAACAACATGTAAAAAGTGTTTAAACATAGAGAGTGACCCAAATTAAGAAGAAACTGGGTAGAATTTAGCCTTAATAGAAAAGAACCTTCCTGGATCATCCTGTATGGACTCCTGAACCCAGCCTGTATGTAGCATGGAAAGCTCAAGCAGGAACAGTTGTGCCCTGAGGAGTCAGAGGACATGCTTAGCATGGATTACCAAAACAGCTATGTATTGGGGAGGAGGGAAACCCCAGAAATGAGGGAACAACATCAGAGACCCTTCTGAAACCTTTATAAACAACTCAAGGGCTAGGGTGTGGCTCAAGTGGTAGAGCACCTGCCTAGCAAATGTGAGATCCTGAGCTCAAATTCCAGTACAAGAGAAAAAAAAAATGCTTGCAAACATGTCTCAAATCTTTGGTTGACTCCTCACCCTCTTCTGTGCAAACAGGAATCCAAGGATCTAAGGAAAACAACACTGGTAAGGCTGAAAAACTGAGCAGAGATTTCAACTGCTGCCTACGAAGGAAGGAGGTAAGAGTTTGAACCCTGACATGTTAGAGAGGTAAACATCACAGCTTCAAACTGAAACTCTAGAAGAACCATGACTTAATAATGAAAACTACATTTCA